TCATGAATATTGAACTAAAATATCCCTATTTAAATATAAATGTTGTCCAAAAATCATTTACATTACCAAAAAGTTAATTTTTCATTATTTAAATTTATTTATTATGTAAATTTTTAAAAAATTAAATATATAAATTGGCCAAAAAAATATTTCAAGACGTAGTGTATAGACTCAATAAAGAGAAAGATAAAATAAAATAATGTTTAATAATTTGAAGTAGTTAAATCAGTTTAAATAAACCCGAAAGCTAAAGATATTAAGAGTCATATTAGATTGTAAATTTTTTATATATTCAAATATTTTAAACTCAATATAAAATTGAAACTCTAAGGTTAATAGAGCGAATGTAATATTTTAATAAATTTAATTTTTTAAAAAATTGAAGAAGTGTAGTTTAAAAAAGTGATACGTAGGACCTACCATTAAAAATATAAGTGGGATCTACATTTATAAATTTTAAAAATTTAAACAGGGTGTAAAAAATAATAACATTTTTTATATTTTGAGAGATCATGTAGGATTTTGTATCAAAAATTGATGGTGAATATAAGATTTTTAATAAATAATAGGTATTAGATATATAAAGAATTTTTTTATACTCCCTTTATTGAGAAATGTAAGGCATTTTTTAAAAGATTGGATACTAAAAAATGTAAAGTATTTTAATTTTTTTAAGATGTAATCATTTCTTTTTTTTAAAGTACCCTCATTAAATAAATTACTTTATAATTATTTTAGGATGAAAATCCTATTAAATATGGGTAAATATAAAAAAATAAAATTTATTTAAAGATAAGTAATCACTTTATTAAGGACAAAATTCAGTTAAAAATATCTTATATTTTTAAACAAAGGGAGTATCTATATCTATATAAAAATAATTTTTTATTATTTATATTTATTTTTATTCTCAAAAACTAAACTATGCACGGGACATAAATCTAGTAATATGTGTAACGTAGGAAAAAATGCTGACAAAATAATGGTAACAATGTGTACTAATTTGTTAGTGAAAGATATCCAATAAAATTGTCTCAATTAATTTAAATATATGATTCTAGTTCTACCGTGATTATTTTGAATATAATTAGTTTGTTTTACTCTATTCTTTTCGTTGTATATAATAAAAGCATTGAATTAAATTAACATTCAATTATTAATAATTAAGAAATAAGTTTCTTGCATAGTATTTGAAATTATTAAAATTTATGAAATTAGTAATGCAATGTTTATAAGTTATTAACTGCTTTGTTAGACAAGTGGAATTTCAATTTTGATGTTGGGAAGTGTAAATACTGGGGAAAAAAAAACTTCATTTTCATGGTGGAAAAATACCAAAGAAGAAGTGACTCTTACCATAAAAGCAGCCCGTTCATGCACCAGAGTTAGTAATTTAAGTGGGTCAAATTTATTTAGATTGTGCTCAATTTACACTAAACTTATTCAAAGTAAACTTGAAATATCTTGTTACATTATAAAAAATTTATATAATCAAACTCAACCTTAATTTTTTAGGCTTTTAAGTTTATTTGAGTTGACTCGAATATCCGATTTATTAAATATTATTTTATTTTTTATTTTTAATATCAATTTTTATTTTAAAATTAATATTTCAATTTGTATATTATTTTATAACTAATAAAAGAAGAAATTTGGTTATTGGGGCTAAACCTATTTGGATTTGGGCTTGACTCGAATTTATTTGAGTTCATTAAGGCGACTCAATAAGATTAAAGTAAAGAAAATCTTTTTAAATTTTGTTTGGTTATTATAAAAAATAGAATAGAATGGATTAAAAAATTAAGATAAAATAAGTTCAACTACCCTCCCTTTGTGATAAATATGATAAAACTCATTAATATACATTACAAATATAGGAAGTATTACTCACTCCAAAAATCTTTTGAATTATGATTTTCCATCTTTTTTATGAATATGTTCACCTATCTTTTTTGATAATTTTATTTTTCTCTTTATTTTTTCAATCCAATTTTTTCAATGCCTTTTCAAAAACCAAACTGAATCTTAAATTTTCAAACTCAGCTCTAAAATTTTTTGAACTTATTTGAGTTGGCTAATTAATTTTAGCCAAAATTACTACCTTTATCCTGTACCATAAGCAATGAATGATTTGTTGAAAAAAAAAATTATTACTAATTTCTACTGTTTTTTTATACTTGCCAATAGATGGTAGATTACATTGAGACACCTGTGGGCTCTGGTTGTGGGAACCATGCAACAAAGATTTAAATATTTTGAAATTGGAATTGATGAATCAAAGAAATAAAAAAATTTATATTTTGTAAAAAATAAAAAATAAAAAATTTCACTTAACTTCACCGATTCCAATTTCAAATAATTTAAATCTGTGCAACCATTATATAAGTTTATAAATTCATGCAGCTGACGGACCCCACTAAAGTATGCACTCCAAAATACGTTCTCGTTTGATTATTAAAAAAATATTAAAATGAAATGAATTAAAAAATAAAAATAAAAATAAAATAATTAAGAGAAATAGATAAATCACATTTATAAAGGAGAAAATTAATTAGTTTATGAAATTAAAAATCATGATTTATAATATTTTTAAAGAGTATAATAATTTTTACATTTATACTGTATATTACTTTGTTTTATTATGCTTTCCATTAAGAGGAATGATGATTTAATTTATTTTTATTTTAATTTTTTTTAATAAATTCTACTCTATTCATTTCTAATAACTAAATGTGACCTTACTTTTGTTCATATTTCGGGCCATTGCACGACAAACTAATCTATACCATACATCTTCCATATCTGTGTAGATTTGACCGACTATTTCCCAATTTCTTTGAGTAATATTTAGTTGACCAAAAAACATGCCATCATTCAATATGAAGGGTTGTTTGAAAAATTCTTTGAGTAATGTGTACTGCTTTAAGAATTTTGGATTGGTTGAAAATTACTCGGCTGTCTCCCCTGCCAACATCCACTAAGACGGAAATAGTTATGCATGAAGCGAACGACATACCATACAATGTCTTTGTGACAGTACTCCTCTGTACAGGTTCATGAAAAAGCAAAAATGAAGTGGGGGAAAAAAAACCTTGAGAGGCACTCTATGTTTTACTGTTGATATCGACAAGTTTCATCAAGTGTTCATTTTATGGCTGACATAATCATTTTTTAACTAATATTTGACCATAATGGAGATAACAATGCAAGTTAATGCTCCTGTGAAAAATCACAGTGTATTAATATCGAATTTGAAAAAATAGGAGGAGTGGGAAACAAGAATTAAAAACCTTTAATGCGCCATTCTTTAATGCCTTTATAATGTCCTAACGTCTCAATTTTATTTTTTATTTTTTTTGGATCACTAACTTTTACATAAAATAAGAGGCATTGGAATATCTTAATGTCCTAAAGTGGTGAAGATTTATACTTTTTTATGATTTTTCAAAAATAGAAGGGTGTATTTGTGATATTTTTCTTTAAAAAAATTATAAAAAATATAAATCTTCACCACTTTGAGACATCAAGATATTCCAATGCCTCTTATTTTATTAGAAGTCAATGATTCAAAGAAAAATAAAAAATAAAATTGGGACGTTGGGATATTACAAAGACATTAGAAAAGGGCACATTAGATGTCCCTAATCCTAGTTTCCACTCCTCTTGTTTTTTCAAATTCGATATTAATACACTGTGATTTTTCACTGTAGCATTGACTTGCATTGTTATCTCCATTATGGTCAAATATTAGTTAAAAAATGATTATGTCAGCCATAAAATGAACACATGATGAAACTTGTCGATATCAATAATAAAGCATAGAGTATAAATCTTTATCACTTTTAAGACATCAAGATATTTAAATGTCTTTTGTTTTATGTAGAAACTAATAATTTAAAAAAAAAATAAAAAACAAAATTTAAAAGTTAAAACATTATAATGGGCATTAAAAAATGATATATTAGAGACCTGTAGCTCGGAGAACAACACATGACCACATAATGAATAGATAAACATTCAATGAAACAAACCAATGATAGAACAGAATTAACACTGGGCCAAAGTGGTTCAACCAATGAGAAAGAAGAATTGAAATTAACCCAATGTGCATTAACTAAACATATAAAAACCTCATCTAACCAATTGGATTGAACCCACAAGATTTATATACTTGATGATTGATACCAACTAATTTAAATATTATAAAATTCTAACTAAGTGACACTTCTTTCGAAATATTTTATATTGATTTTAATTATTTTCCCAATATTCCAACTTCACCTGCAATAGCTCTTCCAAATTCCATAATTTGACATTAATTATGAAATGGTATAAGAACTTTCTTCCTTAAAAAATATAAAGCATTTTTTAAAGATTTGAATGTTAAAAAATACAAAATATTTTTAATATTTTAAAGTATAATTAATGTATTTTTTTAGAAAATGCCCTTGTTAAATAAATTATTTTATATTTATTTTTCAGTGAAACATTCTATTGATTATTAAATAAGAATAAATATAAAAAGATAATATTAATTTAAAAATACTTAACTAATTTGTTGGGAGTAAAATTGAGTAAAAAGAATCTTACATTTTTTTAACAGAAGGAGTATTGTTTTAAGTTTTTATTCAATTTTTTAAATTATAAATTTAAACTATAACTTTAATCACTCAAAATTTCTAATTTTATCATTTAAAAAAAATATTTGTATCATGTTTGAGTTTTTAAGTAAAATTTTTGTTCATTGGATCAATTCACAGGAATGGTTGATGTGTGAAAAGAAAAAATTGGAAAAGGAAGAAGAAAGATCAGAAGAAAAGTGAGCATAAAAATAAAAATACAAGATAGACGCGAATATTTATATTTGCCATCATTTTCTTTTCTTTTCTTTTTGATACTATCATTTTCATATTTTTTGCTGTAGTGTAGTTGTGAAAGTTTTATTCTATTTCCTGGCCAAAAAAGAAAAAACAAAGAAAGAAAGTTTTATTCTATTCCGTTTCAGGGTATAAGTTGATAGAAACATCAGAATTGACGACTGCTGAAGGAGCGAGGACGGGAAGAGGGATGGGGGTAACAATGGAACAAGTTGAAACATCCTTGAAGGCCAAATTGAATCCCTCACATATAGTAAGTTTTCCTAATCCTTTCTCTGCACCGTCCTCGTCTTCATTATTTCGTTCTGGTTAATACTGACGGTCTCCAGAAAACCCGTGCCGGCTTATGGGTAAAATATGCTTAAAACAAATAAATGTGAAAAAAAAAAAGTTTCTGCAAAGCTATAATGGATATGATTAATCAAATTTCAGCGATGAACTAGTCTTCGTCGTGCTATTCCCAAGTTTTGTCTTTAGAATGCGCACTCAATCCCACAAAATTGTGCCCCCCTTTTCCCTTTTCTTCCATTTTCATATCTAAGTGAAATTAAATTCAATAATTTGTTTTGTAGGTAGATTGAAATATAAAGTTTCCTACCAAACCAATGGCTATGGAGTTGCACTTGTACTGTATTTCTATGGCTTTTAAGCATGAAGTTATGAACCAGAAGACTTAAAGGAGAAAAAAGTTTATGGTTTGGGTTGGGTTCTCATAAGTGTTCTACCTCTACCACTCATCCTGCAATAGAGATTAATTTTATGGGTTGCGTTGGTTTACAGTTTAGAGGATCCAGTGTGTTTGTCTAAAAGTAGCTTGCTTTAAGTTTATAACTACATGGATATTCTCATAGACAGGGGAGATCATATTTCACGGGTGAAGTTTGATGTGCTGGTTAAAAGTCGGGTTTTGTGTTTATTAGTTGAAATACTGATCTTGAACGGGAATATTAATGTTCCATGTCGACAATTAAATTAATAATTCAGCTTTCCTCTATTGTCTGCTAGAACCACGACACTGTTACGATTTAACCTCATACAGAGTAAGATGATGGGCTCCACTGTCTTCCATTTGCATTAGTTTTGCTCTTAAGATAAGCTCCTTGCATCCATTTACTTGATCTTCCAACTTGCTTGAATGCTTCATTACCTAACTACCTTGGCTAAAATTGCTGATCACCTCATTCCTCATCAGTGTTTACTTTCAGTCTTGAAGAAACTGTTGGATTTAACCAGCTATAACATGATTGTTTTGGGCTTTATTGCATCTCCATTCACACGTGCCTTGTGTCCTGTCTTGTGGTTAATTTTTCTACACGGTCTATTTGAAAATTGACCTGTGTTTTTTTCCTTTGTAGAACATATTGCGCTACAAAGCAAATTTACCTTTCAAATTTGTAGCCAACCTGTCTGTCAAGTGTTCATTATGTCAACCTTATTGCTCAACTTGGGTTGATGCTCTATTTCCCACACAATGCCCCAAGGAAGAATTAAAACATCCCAAAAAAGCTCACGCAAGCATGTACTCCATTGACTAGCAATGGATGAGGATCAGCTTAAGATGCTTTTGCTTTTTATCCGTTGATGTCTAGATGAAGCTAGCAATTTCTACTCTGCAATGAAAAAAAATTATTTGATTCTGTATGATACTATGCTTTTCTTTCTGATATCTTGATAAAAACGTTCCTGTGACAAACTAAACATGAATCAAATTTCAAAAGGAATGGCCTTGAGTTTGTGGTTCAATCTTGAATGATTTGAATGATTTCACTGGGACTAAGGCTATGATGATGGAAGCAGTAATTATAGGACTGTTTTGAATCTGCATTGTTTTCTCTTTACTAGGGAAAAAAGTCATGGAAAGATAGAAACGATGTCTCTATGTAATTCATATATATGCTTTAATTGATTGTCTTGTACTAAAACTTGTTAATATATCCCCATATGAAACCTTTTGCTCTGCAACTTAGCTTTTTCCATTTGTTTTTCAGGAAGTCGTTGATACCTCTGGAGGGTAAGTATTTTCAACCATGAGATTTTCTTTGTGCTACATCTCAAACTCTATACACTGCACAGATTCTAAGGAGCAATTTGCGCTGTTCACTGTTTGTGAATGGTGTAGCTTAATTATGGATCATACCACAAGTATGTTTGGGGAAGTCCGTGTTTCAGTATACAAGGCATTTTGCAGATTTCTAAGGACAATCAATGTCGTTTTTCCTAAAACGCTCATAAGAGTGTATTAAACTTACTTTCCTTCATTAATATGATTCATTTCCCATTCATTTAAAGAAAGACAAAGTTGAATTTTTTTATTTTTAAAAAAGCTTGACTAGTTAGCTGTTTCTTCTGGTAGGTTTGTGTTAGATAAAAATTTCTTGTATTTTAAAAGAAGTATATATGTTGCTTGTATATGCCTTTGTCTTTGCCTCTTCCTCTATCTCACCACCAAATTAAACTGATGTGGCTATCAGTTGCGGAGCCAGTTTTGCAATTGAGATCGTATCAGAACAGTTTGAAGGGAAGAGACTACTTGAGAGGCATCGAATGGTGAATGCTGCTTTGGATGAGGAAATGAAACAGATTCATGCTCTCTCTATCAAGAAAGCTGTGACCCCAGAGCAGTGGAAACAACAGCAAGAGTCCGCCAAATCTGATGCTGCTGCTGCTTAGCTTTGAGAAATGAGAAAAGTTGAAAATCTAGCTGCTTTATCTTCCCTCAGTTATTTTGTAATAAGAAATCCCAAGTTTCTGGGTACTGGTTCTGTGTAACCTCGTTAATGCTCAAATCTCTGACCAATGATTATATACTGAATTTTAACATACAGAATGTCCGATTATGGATAAGTTTAATTGTCTGAGCTGTAGAATATCATCACACCGAACCTAAGAATTTCCTCGGTACTGTCTTTCAATTGATCTCGAGGACATATTTTCATGACGTTGTATTGCTGCAGGCCGTGAACAAACTGCCACCCAAATGACTTATTCTTCAGCATTTTTTTAATAATTTTGGTTGTATATTTATTTATTTTTAATGTTGAGCTGGTTGAACAGAAGGACTTTATGTGTACGATGATTAATAAGTATTAAATCAAGTTAAACATTATCATCCTTTGATGGCTAATAAAGGCTAACCTGCTCTTGCGCTCCTTCCTTCCATATGATCAATGGGCATTAGTCCTAATGGAAGGGGTTGTTTAAGCATGAAATTTCTAGTTTGAATTTGTAAGAAAGCAAAAAACGTTTTTAGGCCTGAAATGTCTGTTTGAAGGAAAGAAGGCTAATGTTACCAATTCGCTCGGCTGCTCAACATTGCTTATTATTAATTTATTATTTAGCAAGATTACATTTGTTTTTTCGGACAAAACAAGATTACATTTGAATTTAATTTTAGATTCTTACATTTTATTGTCGAAATATGCGGTTTTTGAAGTGAGCAATTAATTGCTGAAGTGTCACAGGAACTGTCTCTCTCATCCCCCACAATAATGACTGGGCAAAATCTCAACCACAAGTCTTGTGGCCTTATCCACAACATCAAACTTAAGTGTTTGCATTCAAACTATCGACATGTTTCCAAATTCGCAATCCCCAGAGTCGAAACTGTTTGTTCAATGGCCACTAAGCTACTTCACCCATCAATGGCTGATTCCCGTCTCAGCCCTCTCATCTTCAGAACCATGAATATCACCAAGCTCCAAGGATTTGTCTCCCCAGGTCCTCGTTCAAAACCAAACACCTCATCAAGATTTGTGGAGACCCCTTCTGGATTCAGACCCATCACTATCACAAAAGTTGCAAAACAGAACTCTGGCTTGCTAGGTGATGAAGCACTTTCCTGCGGCAAAACTGCACTTTACGAAGCTGTGCAAGGTACTATATACTCACTTGGATTATTCTTGTTCTCTGTTAATATGATGCTTATCATTTGCTTCCATGGACTGGAAAACGAAGGAGAATGTAGAAATAATGAAATATGATTGAGGCATATTTCAAGGAATTAATAGGGGAATTTTTGGACTCACTTCTTCCAAGAAGTCTGAAATTGAAACTCTGGTGAAGCAGCTGGAATCTCTGAATCCAACCCCAGATCCTACTCTCAATCTGGACAAGGTGAATTGAATTCAATTTCCAGTCTTGATTAACATTGTCAGTCACAGGGTTATAATTGTTTTATAATATTTGGAAGATGGGTGGATGCTGGAGACTTGTTTACAGCACAATCTCAATTCTGGGCTCCAAGAGAACGAAGTTAGGTCTCAGGGACTTCATCTCGTTGGATGATTTTTTCCAGATTATTGATGTAGCTGAGGTATATATATATTTATATATATCAGGAATTTTCTCTTTAATGAATCCATATAACTGTAAGCATCTGGTGTTAGTTTTTATTTATTTAACCAAAGATGAACATTGGTGATTGCAAAATTGAAGAGCAAAGCAGTGAATGTGATCAAGTTCAGTGCAAAGGGGTTGAGTTTGTTGAATGGACAATTTAGTATTGAGTCCTCTTTCAAGATTGCCTCCTCGACAGTTAAAGCTTCCTCACTTCACTTTTCCTTTTTGTGATTGTTGTGATTTGGAAACTACTTATTTATTATTTAATTAGCTGATGATATTACTGACATTTTGATTTTGATTTGATTCATGTTATGGTGATTCACAGAGAGTTCTGATAAATTTTGAAAACTCCACAATCACTCCTGACCAGGTAAGAAGTCACATTACAGGACATGTTTGGTTGACATGATACTTAATAAATATTGAGCATGGGTTTTCCTGTTAATTGGTTATTGACTGTTTTGAATGAACAGTTAATGAATGTGTTTCGGAAGAACTATGATGTTTTGTTGAGCATCTTCAATCCAGAGGGATGGCTGGAGATCACGTATCCTAACACATTATTCAACATAATTCTAACATTGCCTTTGTTTTCTCGTATGCTTCACGTGAATTTAGATTCTTTATTAGGGAAATGACATTTAGGTCCCATGCTTGCATTCAGAAATCTAATCAAGCTAAAACATTAATTCAATTAATGGTCAGTGATAGTCAGACTGATCAATGGTTATTAACATAGCATTTCATTAAACCAGTCAAGTTACTAATTGTTTACCAGTTCAACTAGTTGGATTGACTTGGTTTTAAATACTGTGATTCTAATACTTATAACAATATGAACTAATATTTACAACTTATTTTTTAGCAAAAAATTTTGAACCTAAAAGTCATTCCCCTTCTGAAAAAATAGAATCGCTTTATTTTTTTTAATTTTATTGAAATGAAAATAAAGTAAATTTGGTTGACATTGAGATTGGTTCTTCTGGGTATGTTTGTTTCTTGCTATCATCCATGAGATAGATATGTGGATGACGCGATGAGGATAGGGAGGGATGACAAAGGCAATATCTTTGTACTGGAGAGATTTCAAGATCACAACTCTTAGTTATTTGATCTGTGAAGTATTTTTGTTTTTCAAAATAAAAATTATTTGACTGATGAGTGATGAGAATATTATGATGTCTGGCCTCTTACATCTGCATGAATTCTGCGGCTGAGGAGATTTTAATTAGCCGAGCATAACTGTGAAGCCTTTTGGTCGTTGGACTGGAAATGACAGAATAGAATGAATTAAAAGATAAAAATAAACAAAATTACTCTTTCTTTACATGGTAAGTATAATTTGCCAGTTTTTTCTTTATTCATTACGTCTTTTGAATTGAGAGAATAGATGAGTTAGAATCATGAACAGACTCCGATTGTTATTCACAACAGACGCATCATTCATATACAGAGAGAACGAGTTAGAAATAAAAGAAATTAATTTGTTTTAGCAAAAGTCAAATATTTTTATTAAAAAAAGTTAGTGCATATATAGATTATCACCCATGAATTCGTGATCTATAGACACATAAGCAAGCTGACGGAAGACAACTTAACATGCTAAGTGCCTGTTTCGTTACGAAAATAATCAATTTTTTCAGTTAAAAAATCGATTAATCAAAAAAAATACCCAAACATCATCTTTTTCAGTTAATCGATTGTTGGGAAAGAACCGATTTATTTTTCCTAAGCTGTATATGTGATCTTCTATGGAAAAGCTGATCAAAAAGATTGAAAAAAATTATAAAGAAAAGCTCAAGAAAAAATTATAAAAAAAATACAAAATTTAATAAAAATAAAATTAAATTCTCTTCTCTTTTTTCTTTTTTTTTAGTAAAATTCAAATTTTAGATTTTTAAAAAAAATTGTTAGCATAAGTTATTGTCAACCACCACCCTTCACTTAATATTACTATAAAATTAATTCAAATAAAGTATTAATTGATGGAGAAAAATTAATTTAATTTAATTTAAAATTTAAGGTCATTGTAAAGATTGTTGCAAAGATATACAAGAGAGAGGGAGAGAGAGAGATTTTGTGTCATTTGTTACATTGCTACATTTTTTATGTCGCCAAAATTTTAAGGTAATGCTTAACATCTTCGTCAAATATGACTCATATCCATGTTGTTATTATGGATCAATTTATATATTATCATTTTTATTAGTTATTGTAAAATTGATATTTGGTATTTAAGAATTAAATCTTTCTCTTTTATTAAATGTATTTGAACTAAGATATGTTGAGTTATTTATTTAAGAAAATTAAATTGTTAATATTAATATAATTTAAATTTTTATAATTAATTAGATATATAATTTAAATAATATATTTTACTTCTTAAATAAAATTTAACAAATTTAATAATATTAGAAAAAAATTTATAAATAATTTAATTTTAAAAAGAAACATCCTTTATGTTAATTTATATAGCTAAAATTAATTTTAAATAAATTATTTAAATATATTTAATTATATTAAAATTAGTTTTAAAAAAACAGTATTCAAATATATTACATAATAATATAATTAATTATAATTATAATTAAATATTTAATTAATTATTTTTATAATTAATGATGCCTAACTAAAATCTAAACTGACCTTAAGTACAAGATTGCTAAATATGACCATTAGAAAATTTTAGCTTACCAGTGGAATCTGGGCTTTTTCAACCGGCACACAATGCCAGCCTACAACTCGCCGGTTAAAAATAGTAGATATAAAAGGAGCAACGTAGATGGTGTGACTAAGTTAAAAATATATTATAATTGATCTATTTTTTTATTTTTTTTAACTTTATGTAAAATATGAGTTTGATTATTGAATTTTATAACGTATTTTTAAGTTCTTTAATTTTAACATTATTAATTTTAAATAATTATTTTTTTAATCATTTTTATTTTAAAAAATTGAACTTAACATATTAATATTTAGAAATTTAATTTGAGAATTTATTCTTAATAAAATAACAATATTAGAATTAAAAATTTAATACGTATTCTATAAAATTAAAAAATTAAAATAAAATTTTGCACAAAATTAAAGATCTAGATGTGGATTTTGATCATTATAATTTTAATTTCTACTGAGTGACTATTAAAAATGAAAAATGTACTCAATTTACAATATTTATGTAATTCTAACTCTCATTAGTATTCTTTTTATATCAAATTATAAAATATTTTTTAAAAAAATTCAACATCTTAAAATATAAAATATTTTTACAAAAATAATGCTTCGTTAACAATGGTTTTCAATATTATTTTTTTATTATATTTTTTTAAGAAGAATATTGACTATAGGGTATTTTTAAAAAATAAACTTATAAATTGTGTTTAATAAATTTTAATGATACATACTCTTTCCATTTAAAAATGTAAGGTATTTTTAAAGAATTTAATATTAAAAAATATAAGATATTTTTAATTTTTTAAGATGTAATTATTGCCTTTTTTTTAAAAGTATCCCTATTGTTAATGACTTTATATTTATTGTAAGATGTTTAATAGAAATAAATATAAAAAAATAAAATTAATTTAAAAATAATAACTATTTTATTATGGGATAAAATTTAATTAAAAATATTTTATATTTTTTAATCAAGAGAATATAATTTTGTAAATATTCTATAATTTAGATTGCAGGGGATATATTTTTTTATTAAAAATTTAAAAAATTTATGAAAAAATTTATTTATTTTTATGAACCCAAGGTACAACGTTAAATCCCTCGAGTTCTCACCTCAGAACCGTCAAAATCACTTCTTTTGTTCCCATTCGACGATTTACTCAGCCTTTTACTCCCCCATAATTCATCGCCGCTGTAATCCGGTGAAACGGATGCCAGAGAATTCGATTTTCCCTGAACACTCCATTCAATACCGGAGCCGCACGGAGGAGGATGGTGGTGAGCCTGTCTCTGATGGATGCCAAGACGAGCAGGTAACAGTCTCGGCCGGAGATGTTGACCGGAACATCACCGGTGGTCGGTGGCCTCCAGAGGAGACTAAGGCTTTGCTCAAGATAAGGTCTGATATGGACGCTGCTTTCAGGGATACGTTCCCCAAAGTTCATCTCTGGGAACAAGTTTCCAGGTCAGTTATTTTCCATTCATTGCTCCTGTTCGATAAAAGTCCCCAGAGAATGCTGCAACATTTCAGCCTCATAAAAATTATGGTTTTGACTTTTGAGAGAATGCTTCTTGTATTGTATGATTTTTATATATCCTTTTATTAAAATATATTTACATAAGTAGTTTTGCACTCTTCAAGTTTATTTTGCGAAATGTGAATTGCAATGTAAATTTCCTTTGGAACTTACATCCTAACTGATCTTCCGTTTTTTTTTTTTGGTGAAAATCTTCTGTTTTCTTCAGCACTAGAAGTATGGTCTTTTTTCTCTGTAGACCCCCATCGAATTCCAGTTTTCCCACTGACTGTTACTCTTTGAAACTGGTCTATTTTTTTTGTGATGGTTTAGAATTTTTATTTAAAATGTAATGATTGATTTTGAAACTGTTCAGGAGACTAGGGGAGCTAGGATATAATAGAAGTGCTAAGAAATGCCAGGAGAAGTTTGAAAACGTGTACAAATACTACAGAAGGACCAAGGAAGGTCGTTATGGCCGACCCAGTGGCAAGACTTACCGATTCTTTGACCTGTTAGAACCCCTTATGAACTCTCCATACCCTGAAAAGTATGAAGAACAAGTGAGAAACACAGAAATAACCACAACCCCAATGGATTTGTCTGATGTTATTATTCAAGGTGCAATTCCACATCCTTACCCTGAAAAGAATGAGGATCAAACGGAAAACATAGCAACAACTACAACCCCTATAGATTTGTCTAATGTTATTCAAGATTTGATTCCACATTCCATTCGATTCTCTGGTGTCCCCTCTGGTTCAACCACTCCCTCTTCGAGCGAAGAATCAGAGGAAAATATTCGGAAGAAGAGGAAACTGACCCAATATTTTGAAAGGTTGATGAACAAAGTACTAGAGAAGCAAACGAAGCTTCAGAAAAACTTTATGGAGATTTTGCTCAAATGTGAACAAGATAGAATGGCAAGAGAGGAAGCATGGAAGACGCAAGAATTAGCTAGGATTAAGAGGGAGCGAGAGCTTTTGGCTGAAGAAAGATCAATTGCTGCGGCAAAAGATGCTGCAGTGCTTGCCCTTCTGAGGAAGTTCGCAGGACATACAGGATCCACAGAATTACCCGAGAACCTACTTCCTGTTGATATAGATAAGGACGAGCAAGAAAATGATAATGCTGGTAGTAGTGCTGTTGAAAAGCAAGACTGTAGAAATGGTGGGAATTTCACACTGACGAGTCCATCTTCCTCACGATGGCCCAAAGATGAAGTGGAAGCATTGATTAGATTGAGGACAAACTTTGATGTGGAGAATGAAGGAAATGGGCTTAAAGGATCTATTCCTATATGGGAGGAGATATCTTGTTCAATGAAAAAACTTGGGTACGATCGGAGTGCCAGGAGATGCAAAGAGAAATGGGAGAATATGAACAAATACTTCAAGAGGATGAAGAAGAAAAACCAGAAAAAGCCTCAGAGTTCTAAAACATGTCCTTATTTTCAACAGCTTGATGCTCTGTATAATAGTGAAAAGCCTAATGAGACGGTGGAGGATTCAGCCAGTTCTGATAAGGATCAACTGAAACCCGAGGAGCTACCGATACATCTTATGGAGGGTCAGTCTCCGTCCTCATCTGACAGAGAAGAAGGATCAGAATGATGGACGAAGTGGGGGTGCCCAATGCTCATGAAGCATGGTTTGAAGAGAGATAAGAGACCCTGTTTTAGTGAAACTTGCTCTAAATCTGATACCACCCATCTCATGGCAGTGTTTTTGTTTGGTACATCAGCGAATCTTCTCTGGTTTTTCTTGAATATGCGCTCTCTGCTCTCAACTTTTAGAGTTTTATTCCCCCCTAGCGCCCCCCCCCCCCCCAAAAAAAAAAAAACACCCAAAATATATATATACACTACAAAATTTTAATGAAGAACTAATTATTTTAAAACTATTTTACATTTTGTTAATGAAAAAATTGCAAGTAGAGGTAGTGCCAATATATTTTCGTTAAATGTCACTTTTTTTTTCACCTGCAATTAGTTAAATATCATTACATCTTATTACTACTCCTATAATTTAAGTTATTTAAATTTTGAAGCACGCGTGCCGATAGAGAGATGTCTGGGGTTGAAATAAAGTCAGAGCGTGTGTTGTTTGATGCAGTATTTAAATCCTTGAATTTTGTAACCCCCGTATAAAGCCAGTCAGTAATTCAGGCTAGCTCGAAAAATTTTAAGGTCGGGTTTAAAAAAAAAATATTTTTTTATGTTCGGGCCGGCCCGAATAGCCCCGAAAAAATTCGGTCCAAGCCCGATCGGGTTCGGGCTTGGCCCAAATACCCGAATAAAAAAATTATATTTTTAAAAAATATATAAAATATAATAAATATTAATTAATTCTTTAAATTTTAGATATTTTATACTAAAATATCATATATTTGAGTCCTAGATATCATTTAAGTATTAAAAAATATATTTTATATTTTTTATAAAATAAAATAATTAATTTCAAGTGAAAAAAATAATTAAAAATAATTTTAAAAATTAAATTTTGGTATTCGGACCGCCCGAAGCCTGAAAAAATTCGAGTCGGGTTTAGTTATTCGGGTTTTTCAAGGATACGGGCATGTTTGGGTTCAGGCCTATTCGAGCTAAGCCCAAATAAGCTCGGCCAGCCTGAATTTTGGACTCTACTCCGGTGCCCCATGCCAATGTGTGCTGATGGAGACAGGGTGGTGGTGGTGGTTGTAACATTGATGCGTCAGTTTGATGCACTGAACTTGGAATGCGCATCCACGTTAGTATTTTGCTGGCACCGCAGCTCCATCAATGACCCTAGACAAATTATTTTTAATAAAAGAAAGTTTATGTTAATTGGGTTCCAAAGTGTTACCAAGACCAAAACATATTTCTGTAAGTATTTATTGAGGCATTTATAAATTGCTCATTAAAAAAAAAAAAAATCTTCACATCAGCATTAGAATATAAATCAACGATCGATCAAATTTTTAATGACTGAAAGTTGGTTATTAAGACAAACTGATATTCAGGTCTTGTTCTATATTTGCAGAATCTCTGTGGTGGGCCACCAGCCTTCGTTGATCGCTGCGCTAATCAGTTCATGCTTAAAGTTAAAATCAAGGCAGCTGATGAAGGCGCAACAAGCTTCATTCCCTTTCTTTCTTTTTCCCCCCTTTTCTTTTCCTTTCAGAAAGATCGGAGATTTTGGGTGTAATCTTTGTTTAGTCACCTAAAAGTCTATTTTCCACATTGTGTGTGTGCGTAATAATGTAATTGTGTTGTCACTGGAAGCCATCTTGTTTATTAAATTGGGTAATTTTATGGCCGATGGAAGCCTTTTCAATGATTGGGATGTGACAGAACATGAATTTATATATTAGTTGTATGTTATATGATTTCTGAGGCTGCCCTTACGTTGCGAAGCAATCATAATAATATAATACTACTATGATACTTGAATGGTTCATGACATTGTCAATGGAATTTATTGTGTCATGAATATTTATAAGGAAAAGTAAAGAGCTCCTATGATTTCGACAAGGCTATGATAAATTTGGCCAAAAAAAAAAAAAAAGACAAGGCTATTATAATCAGCAATTTTTTTTAAAAAAAAAATCAGACTGTGTAGATAAACATTTTCACAATTGATTTCATCTCCTATATTAAAAAAAACAAGAAGATGACATTTTCACAAACTTTACCATAAACTATCTTTTTTTATTATAATAAGCAACATTATATATATATATATATATATATATTTAAAGGTATACAATATTAACATACGGAAACCTAGAGAACAAAAGTAAAACATCCTTTTACAACTTATGGGATAACAGCCAGCATCTGGGAAAAAGTAATGATCTTAGAACTTCTAAAGGAATTTCTATCTTCTGCTCCCAAAATCAAGCTCTTATTATCAATTGAAAAATCCAGACACTTGTTTTTTAAGAAAAGAAAAAAAAAAATCTCAGTGTTGTTTCTTTCTCTCTCAACATTGAAGGTTGAATTAAATCACTTCTCAGTAAATCTGATGTTATTTCTCCACATCTCTTCTTGGTTTTATGTGTTCACAGCATATTGTTCTAGATCTAGAATTTCTCTTTCAATTGATTTGGAAGGCACACAAACTTGTAGAATTTGAGAATCAGATGCGATAAGGGAGTTTGCTTCTATTTTAACTGACATCTTATAAATCAGGACGTTACAAATTTTTTGGAAAACTTCAACAGTTAGATTTTTCATAAATGTGGTTCACATGACTCATCTTATCTTGTTTACTTTTTTTTGTTTTTAATGTTTCTGTCAACTTTCTTTTATTATTAATATATTTACCTTTAAATAGAAAAGTAAAACATCTCCTGTTGAGAAGAGGTATAACCCAATCCTAAGAGAGAGAAGGATAGGGTAGGGAATACATTCTCACTCCATTTAAAAATATAATACATTTTTAAAAAAATAAAATGTTAAAAAATATAATATATTTTTAATTTTTTGAGGTATAATCATTATCTTTTTTTCAAAAGTGTTCCTATTAATAATGATTTTATATTTATTATAGGATATTTAATAAAAATAAATATAAAAAGATAGAGTTAGTTTGAAAGTAGATAATTATTTTATTAGAATGAAATTTAAATTAAAAATATTTTATATTTTTAAATGGATAGAGTAATTGAATATACCTAGGGAGAATAATATGAACTTTTCCTTTTTCCTGTACAATAAACTTTCTTACTCTTTTTTGTCCCAAAACAAAAAAAAACAAAAAAAAAAACTTAAACTTCCTTACTGTTTTACATTTAGTCTTTTATTGTTACTCTCTCGTTACCTTGAAGTTCGTCTCAATTGTGTGAGTTATATGTGTGCTGTGTGTGCGTACAGACACTTATAATCATACCTTTACTTTATTATATTTCACTTAAATAATTGATTGGGATGTTATAAATAATTAAATATTATATTTATTCAATTTAAGATATAATTAAAAATATATAAAAAAATTTAAAAAATCAAGAAACTTTTAAAAAATATGAATTAATTAACAATGACTTATTTTCTCCAAAACACAGTTTAAAGCATTTTTTAGAATCTTACCTAATTCAAAATACATGACATTAAATAACTTTTATATTTATTTTTTTAACTATATCTCTATTTCATTTATTACTCTTTTTAAAAAATAATGTATTAGAATTTTAATTATTATTATCAAGACTCTTACATAGGATATTTAATAAAGGTATAAATGAAAAAATGTAAATAGTTTTTAAAAATTAAAATGTTAACTAATATTATTCATAAATTATAAATTAATTAACTATAATTTATATTATGTGACGGAGGGACTATGTTGTAGTCTGGAGGAAGTAATTTTTTTATCCTTTCGTTGGAAAAAAGTATAACATGGATTTGTCAGTACATGATATACATAACTCGAAATTTAAGAGTGTTATTTGTATAAAAAAAAGGAAAAAAGAAATTAAAGTATAAGTATGACCATGTTAGTGAAATTGTAGAATAATTGATAGCATGGGATTACTTACACAAGCTTTGGATCTAAAATGTGAAGCCTCAATCACAACAAACAACACTAACATTGATGTCTAATGCACACATAACATGATAACATAACACATTTCAAAAGACTTAGACCATCTTCCTCCCTCTCTCATCTCTAATCTGCTCCAATTCCAACACCTCCCCATCTCTAATATGTAAAAAGTATACCATGGAAATATAGATCAAAGTGTCCAATTAAACTAATAAACTGTTAGCTAATATTTTAATCGGTTTAGTAAAATCATTTGTTTATAACTGGTCTGATCAGGGTTCGACCGGTTTATGATTAGTCTGATATTCAATATGTCCGTAAAAAGGCCGTTTCTCCCTCATTACTCTTCCGCTCTCCTCACCGTTGGATTTTATTCACACTAGTGAATCACATTGAGATTCGAATAGCTCTCTGTGTATCTCTCCCTCTCTCTCCAATCCAATCCGAACTAAACCAAGCTTTTTACTCAGTCATTCATTCATTCTTCATTTTTAAATCTTTCACCGCTTCTGATTCACTGCCTTTGCTTGTCCTATTATACCATTTTTGTTTAATTCATTCACAGCTCCATATCCGAAAATCCCCAACGTTCTTCTGCTTGCTTGCGGCTGCGGATCCTTCGTTCCTTCATCCATGGCGGACTACGAAGGCCACCATCACCAGAAGGAGACGGCATTGCAAGCCCTCAACACCATAATCCAGCTTCACTTCGAGAAGACTCTGGAGAAGAAGCGTGCCATTGACCTCCAGAAGAAGGAGCTTCACAAGCTCTTTCAGATTTTCTTCGTCTTCCTCAGCCTCGTCTTCCTGGCCCTCTCCAATTCCTCTCGCCTCCAGTGCCGCCATTGCTGGATCCCTATCTCCCTTCTCTCCCTCGCCTCCCTCATCTTCTACGTCTCCGTCGCCCAGACCCTCCGCTGCATCAACGCCTTCAAGTACCAGCGCCGATGCCACAAGCTCACCCTGGGCTTAGCCACGGAGAAGCTGAGGGAGATGAAGATGAAGCTGCAGAGCGGGAATGAATACGACGGAGTCGGGGACGAAGAGTTTGAGATTCACTACCAGGAACCTCCAGAGAGCTATTTTGGCAAGTTCAAGAGGAATTGGGCTCTCCATTTCGGCTTCTTGATCTTGATCTACGGTTTCATGGTATCTGTCTCCGTTGTTCTTCTCTGCTTCTAGATCTTCTTCTGTGGTAGATCCCAAGATCCATATGTCTAAATTAAAATCTGCATCCACTCGCTTCATTTTCAATCGGGAAATGGTAGATCTAGACTTTAAATTTCAATTGTGAAATTGTGTGCAAGTAAGAGGGGGACTAGTTGTTGTTTGTGTTTCAGCGCAAACGGGCACTTTTTTTCCTTCCTCTTTCTATGCCATACCTTTTCACTTTTCAGCTGTCCTTCTTCTTCTCTTTGACTCATAATCAAATGAAACGTCTTTCTATTAACATTCTTGACTTTGCCACTTGGCTCTTTTTTGCTTGGTTAACATCAGGTATCAGGAAACAAGCAACCTTTTTCATGCTTTAAAAAAAAAAATCGATATATATAATATCTATGATATCGTTAATTTTATTATTTAGTAATAGTTAGTAAGTAGCCCCACTGGAGTTGTTAAGTGTAATTAGCCATATTTGTTTTGTTTATTGAAGGCTTGATCCTTGAAAAAAAAAAAAAATTGTACGTACTCCGCCTGATTAGTATCATGCTGTAGAAGGCCAGAAGCATGCTCCTCCAGTCCTCATCCTCTTCTTTTGCCAGAAGAATCATGCTCTTCGGCCGTCATTCTTTATTAGTACACTAACTGGGAGATATTAAACTTTAAACTCTATATTGATTTAATTTCTGAGGTTAATTTTCCTTTGTTTTTTTTTTACATTTTTATAAATTATTGTGTTAGTTTTTTACATTTTAAGATATAAATTATGTTTTAAATTAATATAATAAATAGATAACTTGATACACACACATATATATATTTATATAGGTGACAACAAATTAACTCTTAAAATCAATATAAGTTGAGAAATACTTAAATAAATTAGGTACATCATGTCATTTGTGGTTTGTCCAATTTAAACACTCCAAGTAATTTAAATAAAATTTTGTGTCATATTTTTTTAAATAATTTTATTTTTATAACAGAATACATATTTAATTTTTTACATTTTCTTTCCATTATCATTAATATTAAAATTAATTTATATTTAAGTCATCTAAATGTTATATTTTTATTAGATAGATTATAAATAATGTGATACATCCGATCTATCTAAGCATTTCTCATTCAATTTTTATCAATTTATTTCTTTGCATTGTGCTTTATTTTTTGTTTTAAAAGTTCTGATTATATTTTTTTACATAAATAATTAATTTTTTCATTAATTTATACGACAACTAATTGATATTCTATTTCCTAGGGCAATGAATTTGAATAGTTATACCTTAAATTTAAACAACAAAATCCAAATCGATAATTTAAATAAACTTAAAAATTAAATAGATAAAAATTAAATCTGAAAGATCAAATTAATAATTGAGGTGGAATTGATAAATTAAAATTTTCATTATAATTAAATTATTTATTAGTTTTTTCTAATTCAAAATATTGGAACCTCTATTTTTTATTTTTGAAAATTAAAAAATCGACATGATACAGATGGTTTAAGCTCGAAAACGGAAGGAAATCATATTTTCCATATTCACAAAATAATAATAATAATAATAATAATAATAATATCACTTTTCATCATCTTGAGATGTAAATTCCGTTGAACAGAGCTTCACGGATGTCTCCCGGACTCCGCACAAATGTCGGGAATATAGGAAATCTTCGCATGAAAAATAAAAATGTACATTGAATTTGTACACCGAATCTTTAATAAAGATACAACTGTTAAAAGTGTTACAATCTTTTTTTTTAAAAAAAAAGTAAATAAATTTTTAGCACACGTCTGGCCAGTGCTAAGCTGTTTCTCTTGCAATGAGGACATGCCAAACTACGCCGAGGAGATTGCACTGCACAACGACTTGTACGCATTCACGCACTGTTTAAATTTCTCTTCAGCCATCACCTGCAACCAAGAGCAATCAGCTTGCACAAGTTACCAAACGAAACAAGAAAAATCGAGAGAAGCAAAATCATCAATCATCATGACCATCATTTTGTTGGGATTTATTTTTCCCTTTTTTTCTTAAACATTATAGATCCTTTCTAGCTAATGCCAATTCTGCAGAATTTAACACCTGGTATTGTGTACGAACAAATTCATCATAAAAACGATAGTTCGGTTATAGTTTGTTACTCTATTTCCAACTCTTGCATACATTTCAAGCGGCCGAAAGGCCACATAGAAACATGCCAATCTCACCTGGGAAGGGCCTTGATGCTTATCAGGATGCCATTTTAAAGCTGATAACCGGAAGCTACAATTGCAAAAAAAAAAAAAAAAAAAAGAAAGAAAGAAAAGAAAAGAAAAAAAAAAAGAAAAAAAAAAAAGAAAGATATCAGTACGTAGTTTTTAACTTCCATGAAGTGTAAAGTTTGGGATAAATGATGCCAAGGGCCACTTACGCATTTTTAACATCTTCAATCTTTAAAGGACCTGTGGGAGGCAGACCAAGGATAGTTCTATCAGAAAGCAAACCTACAAAACATGAATTGATGTCATCATCAGACTCCACATCACTTGAAGACTCAGCATCACTAGCACCGTTCCACTTTCTAGTTCTACTTCTATTTGCCCAGCTCCTGTGATCAAATCCAGATGTTGAATTCTCAAATGAAGACCCCCGCCAGTCACAGAAGGACCAGGTTGACGATTTATAACCAAATCTTGCACAGAAGATTGTCTCAGGATCATCAAAGTCCTCACAGAAACTCCCTCTTCTGATTTTCCCTGAGTTGGTACAATCATATGCACATTAATGGCTAGAGAAGTATAACACACATCAACTTAAAAATCATTTTAACTTATTAATATCAAGTTCAGATTATTTAAAATTGGATGGTTGACTCAATGACTGCTCTAAAACTATACATATCATTGGATGTGTTGTTCCTAAGTCCTAAGCAGTAGGATATCCAAAAAGGTACTTTCATTATCTAGTCCTCAACGTATACACAGAACATGTTTGACAAATGAGTTTGGCAGGAGGTGGCAGAGGGGAAAAATATAGATGAACAAGAAAGAACTCACCTTTTGTTTTCCTTTTTGATTTTCCAAACTTTCGACGAGACTTTGGTTGACCTTTATTATTATGGTCACCTGAATTTTCTTGATCTTCACACCAATCGTGATCCCCTTCAAGTTTCCATGTTTCTTTCTTCTAGGTAAAAAGTGCAAAACAAATGCATGATAAATTGTAGATAGGTAGCATTTGTGATGCGCAGAAATGTGTAAGTTATTAAACTCCAGGCAAATACGCTATTCAAATGTGTGGAGATGAAGGTGTTAGACAATATTCTATGATTGACAGTGTGGATAATTCTGCACCCACGGCACCCGGCCCATCAGGAAGGAAGCTCTTACTCTATTGACCATAGTCAAATCTGATTTATTAATTTTACGTAGCCAGTAGTCAGTTTACTAAGTAATTGAAACTGACAACAAATTTTAGTATTACAATCTATTCTTTGAGTCACAAAGAATTGAAACAAGATCCATCCAATGCATACTTTGGTTTCTCTCTTGCTTCTTTTCTTCTCTTTTCTAGCCAAACCTAGGAGTCATTGTATAAGTGGAGTGTTAACCAGTTCTGCGTCAAAGATTCAACTTTGTGAACATTGTTTTCTGCAAAAGCAGCTCCTTTCTGGACTTTGTAGTTGTAGGCCATGTCTTTATCCCACAGACTTTATCCAGACTCTCAGCCTCACCAAGAGAATTAAGGACAGTGCAGATGACTAAACATGCAATTGCAGATTTGCAGTAATCAATTAATGAAAAAAAGGTAGTCTGAAACATGGAATAACAAGAGTTCTCAACATAATTAAAATCTTTAAAAGCATACCTGAGATGAAAATTTGGAGGCCCCACTATTGTAAAGGAGATCTTTCAGAGCTTTCTTTGCATCTGAGCGCTTTTCACGCACTACAAATCTGATATGATTCTGAAGTTAAATTTTGGTATCAGAGAAGTTTCAAGTTTAAGGATTATGATTTAAGCAGCCAAAATTGCATGGAATTCATAGCATTCAAGTGCCAGAAGCAAACACCCACATTCAACAATTACATGGATGTAACAAAAGCAGGGTTTTCCCTACATTACTTGTAACAAACTTAACATGCATGAAATACCCTAAATCTATGTGCTGAAATTGTACGTTAGATGGCTGTTGATTTCCTCTTACAAGCTGCAAAACATTGTGATTGTCAAACATTCCAAACAGACCTTGAAAAAGGGGGAAGTTAGAGAGTCAATGGTTATATAGCAAAAACTATTTTCAAAGCGAAAACAATATCTACAATGACCTCTGTATTTGTCCGTTAAAATTGTTCAGGAGCAACTGCGGCTAAAACTTGAACCCAGAAACCCCGTCCCATGGACAATTGAACACGCAATACAATCATTCAAGCTCATATTGTTTAGCAATTTTTTTTTTAAATACCAGATAAACTACTCCACGGACATCGTTTCTCACAGTCTGTCCTTTTGGTTCCATCTTGTGATGAAAAACGAAATTGAGAATCGCAAGCCAGAAAAATAATAGCTTTTGGGAAGAAGCAGAGACAGAAACTCACGGAGTTAGATTTATTCTTCCATTTCTGACACGAAAAAGGGGTGGAATGAAACGCTAAGGTTCGGGACGGTGCTAGTTTTGGTGAAGGAATCAGGTAAGTCCTGAGTGAAAACACGTTTCGCCATCGGGATACTTGCATATCGAGGCGGCCAGATCCAACAAAGACTTGACTTGGAGTTTGACGCAGAATGGGGCTGCGATGTATAAAACTTGAGGAAGATTCGCTTGTGAGCGAAGGAAATGGATGCGAGGCTTGAGGTGAAGCGAAGCCGATGATGTCTCCGCACGCTCCGTTCTCTTCCTTCCCTCCGGCACCAAAGCAAAAACCACATGGCGTTGCAGTTGCCGGCACAGTCCCACATGGGCCTGCGCCCCTCCCAAGCCCATTTCCCCCCGGCTAGTTTAGCTCCATGTTCGAAAAGGGCTAGTTATTGTCAAAAGATTTTTTTTTAACCAATAAAAGTTAATCCAACTAATAAAAATTTAGTTTATAACTTAAAGTTATGTGATTAAATTTTATCATTAATATAATGATTTTTTTAGTGAGTGATTTGTAAGTTCCTCTCTAAACATTCCTTAACCTTGATGAGTCCTGGTATCTAACTCACCTAAGCTTTCTTATATAAAAACAAATACTTTTTTCCTTAAAAAATCATAATTGTTGTTAAGATCTTAGTCTAATTTCACTATCCAACAATTACAATTGCAATGTTTAGTTAGCATCAATTAAATTCTTGATGGGAGGTAGGCTCTCTAAAAAAAATATTTACAAATTGTCAACCAAGTTGGTTTGAGTCAAATATTTAGGATGTTAGAGTGAAAGTCACAATTGCAATGTTTTAGTAGGAGATATATCTATATTTAATACTCAACCATGATTTAAACATAATTACCTACTCCAATAGAAGGGCACCTGTGTATAATAAAAAAATATAATTCCAGCATGACTTCTTATATTTTATATTATATATAGAAATAAATATAGACAATATATTAGGTGATTTTTCATTTTTTTTTGAATTAATTAATAAATGAAACAAATAATATTGAGCAAGGGGATAAGGATTAGAAGAAGACCAAATAGAACATTCAATGAAATTATAGAATGATTCTAGTTAATAGTGTACTCAAATGTTTGATTTTGGGTTGGATAAAAGTCTCCTAATCCTATCCAACCTGAATAAATATGGTCCAGTCTGGTCTTGTAAAAATAGACTAGAAGGACTAAAATGATAAAAAAAAGCCATACTTTATCTTTGAATTAAACTAGATAAGATACCGAGATGTTAGACCATTTGGTCTATTTTGGTCCTATAAAGTAATTTTAATATAAATATATTTAATATAGTTTGAACTTTGAAGTGTCTAAATGTTTTCTCCTCATTTTCAATTTTTTACTCTCCACTGAACCAATGATAGCTTGAATTTTGAAAACTCTTCACTCTGTGTCTCCATATTGCCACATGATGCAAGAACTGAAATCCTTTTTATTTTTATTGGAGATTGTTATGGATTTATTATAATTAGATTTTAATAATTTTTGATAAATTTTACATGATTATAAGTATTTTTTTATCTTAAATAAATTTATCAGGTTAAAATGAATTATTATCTCTTATATATATAGGAAAAAGAAAACTAACGAAGTGAAATACTGGATCATCAAGACTAGTTTTTCAATCTCATGAACTGAGTCTAGTTCTATTTAACTTTAAGTTAAACTTAAACTAGATTAAACAACGAGTTGCTTGATAGAATCCTTTCCATTAAAAAAGCCAGGCCAAAGTCCTACTCAGTTAATCTTTGGTGCGGCGCTAGTTTGGTAATTGATATATCACAATCTGGCACAATCCGTTCGATTGGTAATGGACAAAAATTAGAGAGTTAACAACCTAAAGAAGAAATAATTGGGAGAGCCACCAAGAATTAGGTGTCGTGTTATAATCAGATCAAATATCTATTCCTACCACAGTGGGCTCCACTTTTATTATCAAATATAGCATATCCATGCTTAGCTTCAGTTCATGCTAAGTCCTCCATAAAGAATACTCAGGCATAGAGAGAGAGAAGGAAGTAATATAGTGGTAGGTAGTGTATTTGAAGACGACATGGGAGGTTGTGGGAGCAAGTCCAGAGTGTTGAAGGAAACAGGGCAACCTATTAATGAGGTCAACATGTCTGAATCTCATGAAGCTCATCATCATCATCATCATCATCATCATCATCATCAGCTTTCTTCACCCCATGAGATCTCCAGCAAACGCCCTTCTCTCAGCTACTTGTTCCACCAGGTACCTATTATTTCTGATAATCTTCGCTGGTTAGTTAGCTTCTCAGCCTCTTCTTGATAGCTGGTTTAGCTTCTCTTGCTTTCAGAGATTCCAAACATTGCATCTAAATCAAATCAAAACTACTTTGCATTAATGATATGACAAGGGACTCCTTGGAGGACCCCATTTCTGTATGGATCCCATTGGTTAATTTCAACTTTCACTTACAATACAAAACTAGCTAGCTACAATAATGCACTAATGCATGCATCTCTTCATCTGTGGTCTGTCTTAATTATTAACCACACCCTAATTGCCTTATCAATTAACTATTATTTTGTCTACGGGACTACAGAACTATAGACAACTTCATATTATAAAATTAAATAAAAGAGGATGTAATGATATCGTCATACTTAAGTGCTTGTTAATATTTTTGTAATTATTATTATATAAAATTCTTATTACTTTTTTTAGTTAAATATAAATATTTTTATGTTCAATAAAATCCTTTTTTTATTTATTTTTGATTATTTGTTCAGTTCAGCTAAGAAAGTCCAAATCATCAATGGATATAAAATACCAAAAAGCATAAGAAGAACGTATTAAATTAAACTCTGCCCAAATGCATAGTGCCCACCTTACCTACTATAAATTAGAATATATAGTGAACTCAGTGTATTGGTAGAGTGTATAAACATGTATGACGAATCATTTTTTGTTTGCAAAAGTCCTTCAATATAGTAGTATCATAGTTATTTGATTATCAAGTATATTATTACCGTGGTAAGAGTTAGACCTTGGGCTGAAATATTTTGAATAAAAAAATCATGTGAAAGAAATTATTTCAATTGGCATTGATAATACTCAAATTTAAAGTAGCTGGTAATATCGGGTTTCAAATAGTTGTTACCAAATAAAATTTTATTTTTAAATATTTATTATTCATTCTTCAATAATGATCATGACGAACACAAAAGTATTTGAAACCCTTAATAGTGTGACGTTTTATACAATATATATTCCTTAAAAAAAAACAATACATTATTTCATTATAGAATTCAATAACAAAAATATAAGAACTATGCTCAAATGAACATTCACGATAAGATAAGTTTACATTATTCTTAAACTTTTTAACAATTAATTTGGCCATTTGAAATCAGAGTGAAGGTATGAAAACAAATACAAGAAGTGAGAAAAGTGAAGACGGAGAGAATGTGAAAAAAGAAGCGTCAGAAAAGGAAAAGCAAAAATATGAAGTGAAGGAGTTAAATGAAAGGAATGAAGGAGGGAGACAAGAATCACTACCAGAAGAGGCTAAGAACAAATTCTCAGAAGAAACACAAAGCAGTAATAAGTTACAGAATTGTGATGGAAATGACAGTGAACAGAGAGATGAAGCCGAGTAGCCTGCAAAATCAAGTGAGGACTCTAAACCTGAACAATCAGAGCAAAGCCATTAAGGCCCAAATAGGCCCATGAAAGCACTTTAGGGCCCAGTCAACCCAGGCACCTCTTTTTATGCTTGGGATGAATCAATATTTATTAAGTTTATTATGTTTTTAATTATTTTTCTCTCATGCCCGTGCTGATGTGCATTGCCATGCACTTTTGTGCATATGTTTGGATTTAGATTCAATGTCAAATCGTGATATGTACAATCATTTGAAAAGAAAAATCATCTCTTATTTTTTTTTGATAAGATCATGTGTTAATTTTAATTTGACGAATATTATCAAGTCATGGTATTTCTCGTAAACATAACCTTACATGATGTATGCGTATATTGGTTCTTAATTTTTTTAAATATAATCATTTAATTGGGTTAGATTATCAAGTTAATTAAAAATGACTCTCCTAGAGACATTTTTTTGGTATTCATACAAATTTAAACTCGAGATTTTGTATTTAAAATGCTGCATGTCCTTTCACTAAAACCAACACTTATTGATACATTGATCTTTATTTTGAGAGACTCTCCATACTGCTGGTCCAAAGTTTTATTTTCTTTTTGGTTTAAGAAACAATTTTTTTGTTAAATAACAATGCAATGTGGCTTACCATAGCAATGAAAATGTGTTTAGCCCCTAGAAAGGCATCTAATATATATTAAAAAAAGCTTAATTAAGCTGTGTTTTTCACAAGCCATGATTCTATAAACAATGCAGCTTATTTTCTCATATCTGTCATGATCTGATTGGCTAACACTTATTATTAGAATTATATATATAAGAAAGTTTAGATAAATTAAATTTAGCAGCTAATGTACTTTCAAGTTTAAAGAGCATTAATTATAAATTATTTATTAATAAGACGTTCATAACAGATTATTTTTTTTTTTGTTGCCCAATATATTCTCACAATCAACAGCCATTAGATTAATTTTTCAAAAAATCAGAGATCATTTAAGGTGTTTTTAATATATATTTTTAAAAATCAAATCCTAAAATAATTTAGACGGTTGCCATCTATGCCACATTTATTTGGTGATTATGTTACTTTTTACTTTTTATGCGAGCGAAGCGAAACAAAAGCAAAAAGATATGGGCTTAAAAAAAAAAATCCATAAATGACCTTTGTTCAGGTTACTTAGAAGGCCTAATAGAAGACGGTATTCGGCTGCAGTGAGTGAGTCATGGCGCTACGCATGGTGAAGATTCGAGCTTCCCTGAAAGGAGTTGATGAGTGATGGCTCCTCTTTTGATGCAAAGTTTAGTGTTCGTGTTTCTCACTTCCACACTCATCTCCTCTATGATCTGAGGTTCAAAGATTTTGATTCTAAATTTACTCGGCATGGTTAGACGCATGCTTTCCAAAAAGATTTTCATTTTATCTTCCATTTCTTCTTCATCATCATCGTCAGTTCGTCTTCCTCTCTTTCAAATTTGTCACTTCCCTCGCTCGTTGAGTAACTCCTCATTACTTAGACGCCATTATCATGAACCCCAGAATATACCAATTCCAGTATGGTGGGATTTTAAGAATTGCCTCCCACCGTCTGCTGTGAATGTTTTTAGAATTGCTCACTTCATAATGGAGGCTGTTAGAGCCAAAGGAATCATGGGGCCTCTCCGAATTAAGGCATTTGGTGATGTTTATTAGCTCACAAGGTCCAACCAGGAGGCTCTCGCGTCCACTGGGATCAAAATCATCCACGTTCCTAAGGGTTGGTCATTATTTCTTTTATTTGCTGGAATCTTTTTTTTGCCCCACTTGATTTAGGTGAGGGAAAGACATAGCATAAATAGTTCAAAGCTGATCATTTCATAGAACTATCCGTATAGTACGTGTATGTTACTGCATTTTGTTATTTATTCAAAAGTTGGTGTCTTCTTCTTTATTTTGATATTCCACTATTCTGTAGCTGGCAAGCGTTTTGGTCCTTGTCTTTTTCTCTCTTGTTATGCTTACAGTTCTCACGGCAATGTCACTGTTGCATTATTCACTATTTGTTCACATTTCAAACTTATCTTGTCCCTAACTACATGATTGCAGGTGGAAAGAATAGCGCTGATAGATCTCTTCTCATTGACCTTATGCTTTGGGTTTCCCAAAATCCTCCTCCGACACATTTGTTTCTAATTTCAAGCGATAAGGATTTTGCTGAAGTATTACATCGTTTGTGAATGAATAACTACAATATCCTAATTACTGGTATAAATACTTCTCATTGTCTATGCAGTGTAACAACTATAGTATGGCACTGGAATTCATTACTCAGAGGAGAAGATCTTGGTGGAAAACATTTTAATGATCCTCTTGATGGTTTGTACAGTTCTAGGCATGGTCACCATGATGCACCTCTTAAAGACACTTTTTTAGGTTTGAGCTTTAGCCCAATTCCAAAGCCAGTTGTGCAGCAGGTTCATCAGATATTGAATTTGCATCCAAATGGCATCTCTTTATCATGCCTTCAAACAAAGTTGGAAAAAGCTGGTATCTACTTGGATAAATATTACTATGGATATAAAAATTTTTCCTAGTTTCTTTTATCAATGATGAATGTACGGCTTCGGGTTATACCTAATAAAGGACTTTTTGGACATTGCATCTCCCAAATTATCTCCAAAACCCATTGAAAGCAGTTTTGTACTGTCTACAGAGTTGGTTGAAAATGAAGAGTCGAATCATGTGATTACTTCAATGATCTCATCCATGAACTTAGTAGGGAAGATATTCCACAAAAGGTCCAACAGGTTGCAGATGTGGGAAAGAATGGCATTTTAGATGATACTTCTGAAAAGTTAAATGCTGATGACAAATATGCTAAACCAACAAAAAATGAACCTAATGGAGCAGATAGTCATATTGGTGGTAGTAGGGAAACTCCCAGCAATACTTTTAGTAAGCGTCTAACATTCTTGGATTGGATTAAAAGTTGGTGACTGTTCAGGAAAAAGGTTGGAAACACACATAATTTGACTGCACATGGGAATGAGATGGTTAGAAATGCTAGAGAGCTTGAGTTATTGGGTTTGAAACATATAGTTAGTCATTATAAAGAGCATGAGCTATCAAATCTGCGACAGAAGGTTAGTCATTCTAAGGAGCTCCAATCATTAAAATAGAGACAAATAGCTAGTCATTTTAAGGAGCTTGAGTTATTAGAACTAAGACAGACATTGAATCGTTTTGGAGAGCCTAAGGTAATTTCTTGTAGTTCCTTTTGGAAGGAAGTAGAATCTTTGGTTTTCACCTCCAAAGGAGTAATTCTTGTCTTCCAGTCAAGAAGCAGGTTGGTTAGGATAATAGTCCTTTAGAGCTAATTTGAAAAATTTCACATTTGCTATGTACTATAAGAACAGTGTTTGTGTAGATAATTATAAGACTTTCTTAATTTTTAATGATATTTGTGAAATATAATTAATTAGGAAATATCCTTTGCTAATTAATAGGGATATGATTCTGATTTATAGGGATATGATTAGACAAGATTATGAGGGTAAATACGTGTTTTGATTTTTTTTTGATTATTTCCTTGTACAGTCAGCCTTGTAATCGTGTATATATTTCTGCACAGTGGAATAATATATTCATTCATTTTCTGGTCAATATACCTACATGGTATCAGAGTTGATCGACGGTTCTGACCCAGAAAATGCAGACGGCAGCGTACGACCAGTAGAGGAGTCACAGTCGAGCAACTCGAGACCTTCGTCCATAGGCTCAAGCACCGAGAACTCCTCATCGTACACCCATGGCGGAACTCCCCTCGGGTTGAGTTCTGCCGAAGGGTCCTCTGTTCTCCCGGTGTCCGATAAATTCAACGGACATAATTACCGTGAGTGGGCTCAAGCTATGCGACTCGCTATTGGTGGTCGTGGAAAACTGGGCTTCATCACCGGTACGTCTAAGGTACCAGACGAGTCAGACACAGCAGCCCTGTCAAAGTGGGAGACCGAGGACTCGTTAGTTGCTTCATGGTTGGTCACAGCCATGACTCCACAGGTCCGACGCTCCTTCATGTTTTTGCCTACTGCGAGAGACATTTGGGAAGCTGTTCGAGAATCATACTCGGATGGTGAAGACAGTGCTCGAACATATGAGCTGAAGACTCGAAGCTGGCAGATTAAACAAGCTGAATGTGACTTGACCGAATATTGGTTAGAACTCGTTACCATATGGCAGGAGATCGACCTCAACACAGAAGAGGAATGGGCTTGTACTCATGATGCATCAAGGTCCAAAAAACGAGTTGAGGATGAGCGGGTGTTTCAATTCTTGGCCGGTCTTCATCACTCATTAGATGATGTCCGAAGCAGAATCCTAGCTCGCTCGCCATTACCCTCAGCACGAGATGCATTTGGAGAAGTCCGTAGGGAGTCTTCTCGTCGAAAGGTGATGCTTACTGACCCTGTTCCTATATCTTCCTCTTCTGAACCTTCTGCCTTGATAAGTAAAAGCGCTGATCACGGTTTAAAGGAGACAAAAGGGAAAATCTCGTGTGATCATTGTAAAAAGACTGGTCACACAAAGGACAAGTGTTGGGATCTTCATGGGAAGCCTGCTGACTGGAAACCAAGCAAGGGTAAGGCACGTGGATATCAAGCGACTTCAGAAAATGCCCTAAAAAAATCTATTGCCATCCCTCAAATGGATAAAGACCAGTTAATTAAGCTCCTGGAGGTGTTAAATACACTACAACGACCTGGTCAACCATCTCAAAACCACACTGTTTCTGTGGCCAAGCAAGGTAAGAATCATTATGCATTAAATACCTCCTTCCATAAATCCCGGTGGATTGTTGACTCTGGGGCCTCAGATCACATGACGGCAGACTCCACGTTATTTACATCATATTTTCCATGTAGTGGACATGAGAAAATTGATACTGCTAATGGAACATCTTCCTCCATTGCTGGAAAGGGAAGCATTACTATTTCTGAATTTTTACAACTGGATTCAGTCCTTCATGTTCCATACTTAGCTTGTAATTTGTTATCCATAAGCAAGTTGACTAAACAAGCTCACTGTAGTGCTCATTTTTTCTCTACTCATTGTATCTTTCAGGATCTCACATCGGGGAAGATGATTGGCAATGCTGAGGAGTGTGATGGGCTATACTACCTTAATGAATCAACCGTGAGTAGTCTCTGGTCTCGTATTCGGTGTAACCTTGTGTCCACCTCTGAGAATAATGATCTTTTGTTATGGCATAAAAGAATGGGTCATCCTAATGTCCAGTACTTAAGTCGTCTGTTTCCTCATTTTTCATTCAATAAAATTTCTACTTTTCATTGTGATACTTGGTGAATTGGCTAAACACCATCGTTCCTCACTTCCGCACTCTGAATACAAACCGTCTAAACCTTTTTCTATCATTCATAGTGATGTGTGGGGTCCTTCCCGTATCCCAAATCGGACTCAAGCCAAATGGTTTGTTACCTTCATAGATGACCATACTCGTGTGTGCTGGGTCTACTTAATAAAAGAGAAATCTGATGTCACATCCATATTTTTAGAATTTTACACCATGATTCTTAACCAATTTCATACCTCCATTCAAATCCTCCAAACTGATAATAGTACCGAATACCTGAATAAAACTATGAGTGAATTTTTGAAAACAAAGGGTATCGTCCATAAAACCTCTTGTACAAATACACCTCAACAAAATGGTATTGCCGAACGCAAAAATAAACACCTATTGGAGGTTGCCCGTGCCCTCATGTTTACCACTAATATGCCAAAATTTTTTTGGGGCGATGCTATTCTTACTGCTGCTTACCTCATCAATCGAATGCCAAGTAAAGTCTTATCCTATATCACACCTCTTGATCGACTACGCGAAATACATTCTCTTCACCATCTTGAAACTAATCTCCCCTTGAAAATATTTGGGTGCTTAGCTTTTGTACATCTTAACCCCACTTCAAAGCTTGAACCTAGGGCTATCAAGTGCGTATTTATTGGTTATTCTTCTTCTCAAAAAGGCTACAAATGTTTTGATCCCTCTTCCCAGCGTCTATTCGTTAGTCATGATGTCACGTTTTCTGAACACGAATCCTTTTATCCTCCTCCCTCCATTCAGGGGGGGACTTGGCATGAATTTCAGTCATTCTTTGAGTATTCCCCTATTCCATCTGTGGATCTCAACTCTTTTGAGCCATCTGTCTCTTTTATGCCAGAAGCAAAAGAAAATACAGGTACAGAGGATAACAAGGACACAAGTACCACAGAAAAAGAGATCATAACCTATAAACGGAAGAAGAAGCAATGTAATAAACCTCCCACACCTGAGGCAATCCTTGATTCAGAACCGATAAGAGATCTTGTAGAAGGAAATGAGAACATCATAGAGACTTTGAATGCCAATAATGATGCCAGGAAAGAATTGGATAGTGATTTGAATTTGCCAATTGCCCTCAGAAAGAAACCTCGATCTTGTACACAGCATCCAATTCAAAAATATGTGTCCTATGATGTTATATCTCCCAAGTATCAAGGGTTCATTGCAAGTCTAGATGATGTTAGTATTCCAAATAATATTCATGAGGCTTTGGAATCACCAAGATGGAGAGAAGCTGTCTTGGAAGAAATGAAAGCATTAGAGGAAAATGGGACTTGGGAAATTGTGAATAAACCAAGGAACAAGAAACTTGTAAGTTGCAAGTGGGTGTTCACCCCAAAATTCAAAGCCGATGGGAACCTTGAAAAATTGAAGGCTCGATTGGTAGCTAGGGGATTCACTCAGACATATGGCATTGACTATCAAGAAACCTTTGCACCAGTGGCCAACCTAAACACTATCAGAGTGTTACTATCTATAGCAGCAAACCTCGAATGGCCGTTGCATCAATTAGATATCAAGAACGCCTTCTTAAATGGAGACTTGAAAGAGGAAGTATATATGACTCTACCCCCTGGCTTTAATCAAGGCAAAGGTGATCAAGTGTGCAAGTTGAAGAAATCACTGTATGGATTAAAGCAGTCACCGAGAGCATGGTTCGATAGATTCTCACAAGTCTTGAGGTCTCAGGGCTACAAACAAGGACTATCAGATCACACTATGTTTGTTAAACTGGAAGGAGGTAAGAGGTGTATTCTCATTGTGTATGTTGATGATATAGTTATTACTGGTGATCATAGTGAGGAAATCATAAAAATTAAGAATGCGTTGAGTCAAGAGTTCAAGGTCAAGGACCTAGGAATGTTAAGATACTTCTTGGGAATGGAAGTTGCAAGATCAAAGAAGGGAATTCATGTATCTCAGCGAAAATACATATTTGATCTCTTAAAAGAGAC